GCACACACACACACACACACACACGCACGCACGCACACACACACACACACACACACACCGATGCCGACGCCGACGAGTACGGCAACCGCGAGGACCGAGACTAGGACGAGGAGCCCACCCTGGAGCACAAGATCAGCATCGACACCGCGCGCACACACCGGCGGCCTGGACGAGATCAGCGACGCGTACGTCCAATATCCCGGATGCTTGCATCACTACTGTTCGACCGCCACTCGTACGCCCTCGGAAGACTGGGCTGCGAGGACGTGGCGCACGCGCCGCAGGACGCGGAGGACGTGCAGGAGCGGCACGACGCGCCGCAGCCCGTGGAGCACGGGGAGGAGCGCCGAGACTGGGAGACCGTGCACAGAGCAGGGCCGGAGGCTGCTCTCCTGTATCCTGGCGATGATCGCGGCCTCCCTCCCCCCACCGACGGGCAGCAGACACGCGGTGGACTTCCAGACTCGTGGCTTGCCGATCCTCTTGTGCCTCGTCCCGACCGATTCGGCGACTGCCGTAGCCACGGCTCAAGACAGGGAGCTCCGGCACCCGTGGTCGCGAAAACGAGCAAGCCGAGGCATTTCCGGCTCTTGTTTTCACGAGCACGCCGCTCGAGAGGGAGCTGGAGGCTGGACCACCCGAGGGCCCGGCGCTCCAGTCGGCGGCCTGTTGACGGGCAACCCGTGGGAGGAGGCGGGGGGGAAGATCTCGGGCGCGGGGCCTGGTCCTGCTTCGCCTTGCACACATCCACTGGCAGACAGTCGTGACCAGCGCATACAGTGGGGGCTCGGCCACAAGAAACCTCCGCAAGAAACCCAACCCTGGAAGCTGCGATCTGTTCCATGAAAACCCAAATATGTCGATCGAAAATCATCCAGATCTTATTGGGAGCCCATCAAAATCCAAGAAACCCAGGGCACCCTGGCAAAATCCAACTGGTCTGTTGGCACGCGCCCCCACTGTAGAGGATGGCGGGGCAGATGACGAGGAAATGAATCCATGGCCGCACGCGCGGCCGCACGCGGGAGAGGCACGGGAGGACGGGGGCGTGCAGGAGCAGGTCACGATGCTCGCCGGACGTCGCATGTACGGGCCGGGAGCTGACCTCCATGGGGAAGCCTCGTTTGGCGGCCGCAACAAGGGGATGGGGGAAGGGGGGAGGGATTTTAGAAGCAGGCTGCTTCTTAGAAGGCGCCTGCCTTACATCTACTAGATAAGGCCGCGCCTTCTAAGAAGCAGGTGCTTCTAAGAAGCCCCCCCCCTCCCCCCACCCCCCTCTACGCGTGGCTGATCTGTGGAGGAGTTGCGCCCGGGGTTCAACGCTTTGGACATTCGCCTCAACGACTTCGTGGCAGGAGTGGACGAGCGCCTGCAGTCTGTTGAAAGCAGGCTGCACGTGTCAGACAGAGGTCATGATCGAACATCTGGAGAACATGCTCAAGAGTCTCGAGTCTTCTCGGCCGGACCGTGGACAAAAAGCACATCACGGCAATCATTGGCAACCTGGACGCTTTAAACTACATAACATAAACAACTACGTGGCTGACGGACAAGCTGATGGCGTTGAAGTGTCTGGCCCCAACCATCACGCACTCCAAGAGGGACTTCAAAGGGCATTGCGCTCGAAGAGCTCCCAGAGACCTTGGAGAGGGACACCGCTGTGGATCTCCTCCAGGCGGCGGGACTTCAGTCAAGCGGAAGAGAAGGCATGCGGGCGACGGCTGACCGCCCAGCTACAGAACGCGCTGCCCAGAACTTCTGTTTCGGCCTGAAGCGGCTGTTCAAAAACGAGCGGCAGATCCAGTATCGCGTTAAGATATCCGACGAGGCTCCACACCTGATTTCAGCTGGGGGCGGGAAGGCGGTGACAATCCACGTTGACAGCGTCGCGCGCCACGAGTGTCTCGGCGACTGGAGGACGCGGGAGGAGCTGCACAACAGCCAGGCGGTGCAGGACCTCACTGAGAAAAAACATCGACCTGCTGTCCTGGGCTGGACAGGGCAGGAAGGGCAGCAAGGCGGTGCCGACGGGCACTGGAAAACACACAGCACGTGGGCGCAGCTTCACCCAGAGTCTGACCCAGAGCACCTGTCGTTGTCTGTACTGCAGGCCCCAATTATTGGTACCAGATCTACACCACGCACGGCAAGGTCAAAAGAAGGAGCCCTTCTCCAGGGCGGCAAGCCCGCCGCCCTCCGGCCAGAACATTCGCCGGCGCAACGAGGGCCAGAGGCGTGCGAGGATCGCCGGCAACGAGTTCACATTTCTTCTGGTTCGCGCGCGCGTGGCGGCCTCTGGGGGTCCCGGAGCGAAAAGTACCCTGTGCAACTCCCAGCAGGGTCCCGGCAAGTCCCCGTCGGAGATGCCAAGACTCCTGGGCGCGGGCCTGGGGGCCTCTGGAACCGTCCAGGAGCGGACCGCGGAGTCGGCAAATGTGTGGCAGGCACTACGGCCAGAAGCCAACAGCGTCCGAAGGCGGCCCAAGATGGCCTCATGATGGCCCCCGACGCCCCCAACACGCCCCTCGAGGCTCCCAAGAGGCGTCCCAAGAGGCAAAAATCAATGATTTGTGTCAAGGTTCTTTGAGATGTTCAGCCTTCTCGCCTTTTCGGCGTCCCGACGCTCCAGGAGGGCCGAAGAGGCCTCCAAGACCGCCCCAGCACAGCCCAAGAGGCTCCCAAAATGGCCCCACGATGGCCCAAGACTGCTCCAAGACGGCCCAAGAGGCGGCCATACGGGCCCAACAACGCCCCAAGACGGCCCCAACCAAGACGGGCTGGAGACGCCCCAAATCGCCCCAAGTCGCCCAAGATGGGCTCAAGACGGCCCAAGAGGCCGCCAAGACGGCCCAAAAGGATTTCAAGAGGCCTCCAAAGAGATCCCAACAATTGGAAGGTTTTCAGCTTTCTCGCCTTTTCAACTTCGACGATCCACGAGGGCCCAAGAGGCCTCCAAGACCGCCCCAAGAGAGCTCAAGACGGCCCACAAGGGCCCCAAGACGGCCCAAGAGGCACACAAAAGGCCCACGAACGCCCCACGACGAGATCAAGTGGGGCCCACGAGTGGCACGAGACACCTACAGATCGCGCCAAATCGCCCAAGATGGCCCTCAAACGGCACAAGAGGTCTCCAACACGGCCCAAGACGCTTCCAAGAGGCCTCCCAAGAGAGCCATGAGAGACACAATGTAATATGCTATGGGTTTGTGAAAGTTTTTGGCCGTCTCGTCCTATCGGCTTTCTGACGTTCCAACCCGGTCCCATCATAAGACTCTCCTACAGGGAAGCCTCTGGACTACATCTGCTCTGAGCCGAAGCCAGGGGGCAGGCCCAGCCGGAGAACCCCGGTGAGTGGCACACCCGCGCGCTCCGAGAATACCCCTGAGCGGGCGAAAACTGGCCTACTTCGGCACACCCTGCCTGCTTCGGCACACCCCTCGACGCTCCTCGCAACACCACGCTGCTCCTCGCTGCTCCTGGCTCCTCCTCCTCCTTCTCCTCCTCCTCATCTTCTTCTTATTATTCTTCTTATTAGTCTTAATAGTATTATGGTTTGTCTGATTATTCTCTTATTATTATTACTACTAATATTATTATTATTATTATTATTATTATTATTATTATTATTATTATTATTATTATTATTATTATTATTATTATTATTATTATTATTATTATTATTATTATTATTATTGTTAGTATTATTATTACTATTAGTATTATTATGAGTATTATTATTATTAATATGATTACTGATATTATTAATAATACGAGTATCATTATTATTGGTATTATTCTTCAGATCGTTAATATTATTCTTACTCGTATTATTAGTATTAGTATGCTTAGTATGATCAGTAGAAGTATCACTCTTAGTATTACTCGTATTATGATTGTTTGTCTTAGTACTAGTATTAGTAGTATTATTCGTAGTGTTTGTATTATCATTTCCCGCATAAGTCTAGCATCCGTGTTATTACGATGAATCTTATTATTGATACTATGACTATTAGTATTATCATTACTATTCGCAGTGATATTAATGTTCTTACTACTCGTCATAATAGTCTTAGTGTCGTGTGTACGATTCTTCGTATTATGATTCGTACTATTAATAGTTGTAGTATTCGTATGAGTCGTAGTAATCTTGTTTTAATTCGTATTATTAGCATTCGCTTTATTACTATGACTATTCCCATTATCATTATTATTAGTATTCATGTGATTACTCTTCATAATACTAAGTCTTACTAGTATGCGTCTCAATGTTTTTAGTCTTATTCGTATTAGTATTAGTAGTTGCATTCGTCTTAGCATTTGTTATCTTATTAGTATCATTCGTATTATGTTTCGTGTTATTATCATTATTAGTTTTCCTCCTCCTCCTCCTCCTGCTCCTCCTCCTCCTCTTCCTCCTCCTCCTCCTCTTCCTCCTCCTCCTCCTCCTCCTCCTCCCTGTCCTCCTCCTCCTCCTCCTCCTCATCCTGCTCCTCCTCCTCCTCCTCCTCCTCCTCCTCCTCCTCTCCTCCTCTGCTCTTCTCCTGCTTCTCCTTCTCCTGCTCTGCCTGCTCCTCCTCCTCCTCCTCCTCCTCCGAATCCTCCTCCTCCTCCTCCTCCTCCTCCTCCTCCTCCTCCTCCTCCTCCTCCTCCTCTGCTCTCCTCCTCATCCTCCTGCTCTTCCTCCTCCTCCCCCTCCTCCTCCTCCTCCAAATTGGAGCTCCCTCAGCCTCCCATTGCCACTAGGGGTGGCAAGTGGGCAGGTAAGTGCGGGCGCCCGGCCTTGCGTCGGATGGGGGGGCGCCGCGCCGCCAGGCCAACGGCGACTCTCGGACCAGCGTGCCGACTGCGAGGCCGAGGAGAAGGAGAAGAGGGAAGAGAAGAGGGAGGAGACGAAGGAGGAAGAGCAGGAGGAGGGAGAGGCGGACGAGGACGAGGACCAGTAGAAGAGAGGATGGGGGGGAAGGATGAGGAGAAAGACGAGGAGGAAGGGCGGCGCGCGCGGCGCACCCCGCAGCGCCGGCCGCGCCGCCAGAGCAGCGCGCAGCGGGCGGCGCCTCGCTGCGGCGACGATGACGGTGGCGGCGGCGGCGCGGCGACGGCGACGGCGACGGCGACGGCGACGGCGACGGCGACGGCGACGGCGACGGCGACGGCGACGGCGACGGCGACGACGACGACGACGACGACGACGACGACAACGATGGCGGCGGCGGCGGCGACAACGACGACAACGACGAGACGACGACACGACGGCGATGGCAACGACGGCGAGGCGGGGGTCAACGGACACGGGCTCGAACAAGGGCGGGTTTGTTCGGAGGCAGCTAGGAGAGTCTACGCAATCTAGGCGGAGGCAAGGCTAAGGATCGGCGAGGACGGCCGCTGAGGATCGGCAAGGCTGAGGATCGCCTCACCCTGCGCCGCGCGCGCCATGGCCACCTTCGCGCCCTCGTGCGGGCCTCCCCAGAGGGGGGTCACTCTCCAGCGCAGGCCGCTGCGCGCTTGGCGTCGCCGTCGTCGCGCCCCACTGCGGGTGACCTGGGGTGTCCTACTGTCTAGGTCCGCAGCAGGCGATTGTCAACGACAACCGGCGAAAGCCACTGCTTGGGATGATCATGCAGAGTCACTGCCAACTCACGTCAGATGTACTGGGCCCGCCTCCGTCTAACGCTGGAGGCCGACATCGCAACGCGCACGGACCCGATCTCCAGAGGTTGAGCTCGTCGGTCGGCGACCTCTTACCTCGAAACGCGAGCTCGGGGCCAGTTCACGACATTGTCACTGCCAGCACATAGAATCTCGCCGGTTAGCTCTCAAACTCGACAGAGGGAAGAGGCATCCTTTTGGGCGCAAGACCTCCGTCCTCCCTTGCCCTTTCATCAACCTAATCCCTCCATACCCTAGCGGCGGCGACGACCACGACCTCGACGACCATGACAACCACGACACCTACACAAACACAACGGCAATGACGGCGACGGGACTGTCAGTCCCACATACTTCCGCTCCCTTCCTCTCTCCTCCTCTCCCATGTTCCCTCCTCCCTTCTCCCTTACTCCTCATCCACCTCCCACAGCCTTCCCTCTTATCCCCCTTCACTCCTCCTCCTCCTCCTCCTGCTCCTCATCCCCCTCCTCATCCTCCTCCACGTCCTCATCCTCATCCTCATCCTCATCCTCATCATCATCATCATCATCATCATCATCATCATCACCACTACCACCACCACCATTATCATCATCATCAGCAGCAGCAGCATCATCAGCATCATCAGCATGTTCAGTATCATCATCATCATCATCATCATCATCATCATCATCATCATCATCATCATCATCATCATGATCATCAACCTCATCATCATCATCAGCATCAGCATCGTCATCATCATCACCATCATCACCATCATCACCATCAGCAGCATCATCAGCATCGTCATCATCATCATCTGCAGCAACAGCATCATCATCGTCATTATCATCATCGGAATCATCATAAGCATCATCAGCAGCATCAGCTTCAGCATCATCCGCCTCGTCGTCATCATCATCATCATCATCAGCATCATCATCGTCGTCGTCATCATCATCACCATGATCAGCATCATCAGCAGCATCGTCATCTCATCACCATCATCATCGTCATCATCATCAACCTCGTCATCATCATCATCATTTAAAACATTAGTATCCTCATTGCCATCATCATCAGCATTAGCAGCTGCAGCAGCAGCATCATCACCAGCAGCATCATCATCTAGTCCTTTTCCTCATAACTGACTCCTCCCTGTCGCACGTCCAGACGTTTCGGTAGGGCGGGCGTGGCGTTTCGCCTTAGACTTCCTCACCATCTATGACCCTGAAGCTTGACATTCGAAACAGTCAAGGATAGAGGGCGGGTCGTGTTCAAAAAGCGGCTCTCGCATTCGCGCCGCACGAATTTGTCTTGACAGCTTGCAACAGTTTCAAGTGTGGAGAACGGCTGGTTTTCAAGATCTGGTTATTGCCTCAACGCCGTGCGCATTCGTCTTACAGGTTTGCGACCGTTTCAAGGATCGGCTTAGCGCCGCGCAAATTCATCTTACAAGTTCACAGCAGCTCCAAGGATTCGTAAGGTTGAATTCCAAGGAATGGTGCCATGACGCGACAGTCACGCTGTGTTGCGATAGTAAAGTCCCGGAAATTTTGATTTGGTATGAGTTCGGATTATCAGGACGCAACAGTCACGTTGACTCGCGGCGTTGAAGACTCAGGAAGGTGTTTTGGCACGGTTGAAGATTCTCAAAAGGTTGTCTTCTCATGGGGAACTCCCCGCAATGAAAATAAGTGATTACTATTACTTGTATTAATGTTATGATTATTCTAATGACCCATGAAGAGAGAAAACCACCGACCCTGCCAACGTGTGTGAGACGTTTTTCCGTTTGAGTCGCCGTCGCCGCTCTACTCCTTTCCCTGGGACCCTCCTCCTCAAGCGACCCAGCCAAACGAAAATCGAAAAACGTCGCAATCGAGTCGAAGGGAAGCCGGTTCCCTTTGATCCCTTCCCTGTGCCGGGGAGGGGGGGAGGATAGCGGGGGGGGTGCCCGAGGGGGGGATCCCGAGCCCTCTGATCAGCCACACGCAGGAGTGCCCCTGGGCAAGAGTGGCCTTTGGCGCGCGGCTTTTCAGAGGGACGCGGGGTGGCCGAACCTGGGCGCGCAGGTCGCTGCAATACCGCTGCGCGCTCCACGATCGGGGGGCCTCTTGGGCCCGCACCGAGAGGTCACGCCGGCGAGTGGTCACTCTCACGTCCAGTCGACAGATGAGAGAAGGCCCGCCCCATCTCGCTTCCCCCCTGGGCTCGCCTCTGGGAGGAGAGGAGGCAGGCAAGCGAGGGCACATACGCACAGGACCAGCACACACACACACACACCTTGCCATCGCTGGGGCGGCCACGTCCCGTGCGCTGACTGTTCGGAGACGATCCAAGAGTCCCCAAATGTTCCTCGCCGAGGAAGCCGTGCACACGCGTCCGAGCGATGCCAAGACCCTGGGCAAACACACACACACACACACCAGACCAGCACACACACACACACACAAGACCAGCACACACACACACACACACATACCTACCTACCTACCTACCTACCTACCTACCTACCTACCTACCTACCTACCTACCTACATGCATGCATGCATGCATGCATGCATACATACATACATACATACATACATACATACATACATACATACATACATACATACATACATACATACATACATACATGCATACATACATACATACACACATACACACTCACACACGCGCGAACACACACACGCACACACGCACACGCACACGCACACGCACGCGCACACACACACACACACACACACACACACACACACCTTGCCATCGCTCGGACGCCCATGTCCCGTACATTGTTTGATGCCGTGCGCGGCGACGATCCAAGACGCTTCTCAATGGTCCTCGCTGGGCTAACCAATGCACACGCGTCCGAGCGATGCCAAGACCACTGCCGCCGCCCCCGACCGCTCCCGAGCAAGAGGGATGGTGGCGGAGAGGGAGCAGGAGGAGGAGGAGGAGGACCAGTGTAAACCCAAGAGGCATCAAAGATGTTGGAATCAACCCTCCCTCCAAGCTCCATCTCCACAGGCCCCTACAACGGTTCACTTCAATTGAAGGAACTGCCTGCTTGGAAGACAACCGTTTGAAGACCCTGGAGCATGCCAAAACAGTGCTCTCGGGATTCCGACGCCACGGATCAACCTGACTGTTGCGTCTTGACAATCCTGAATCGTGCCAGAACGCTGTTCTTGGGACTTCAACACAGCGGATCAACATAAGTGTTGCACCAGCATGATCCTGAATCCTTTCAAAACGCCATATCTGGCATGTTGATGATGGGAATCCGTGGAACTCTCTTGCAACTGTAGAAAACGAATGTGCACCGCGCTAAGGCGAGAGCCATATTTTGAAAAGAAACCGCCCTCAATCCGTGAAACTCGTGCAATATGTTACAATGAATATGCGCCGCGCTAAGGCGAGAGCCGCATTTTGAAAAGGAACCGCCCTCAATCCGTGAAACTCTTGCAAATTCCTGAGACGAAAGCGCGCCGCGCTAAGGCGAAAGCCACATTTTGAAAACGACCCGCCCTCCATCTGTGAAACTGTTGCCAAGGTTTAAGCTTCAAAACCATTAATGGTGAGGAACTCCAAGGCGAAACGCCTGGGCCCATCCTAAAAACTGGCTTCGGAATGCGACAGGGAAAATCATTGATTCCCCAATCAGAGCTTGCCACTGCGGAGGTCCCAGCGGATTAATATGGTTACGTGAGGTGCGGCGCCGATTTCGGCGGAACGCCTGGGTGCCCAGGTGTCCAGGGGCCTGGGAGCTCGGGTGCCCGGTAGCCCTATAGCCACATAGCCCTACAGCCCTATAGCTACATAGCCCTGTAGCCCTAAAAAGATGATGATTGGGGGTTTTCTCTAGTATCATGAGGAAAAGGAATGGAGGAGGAGGAGGAGGAGGAGGAGAAGAATAAGGAGGAGGAGGAGGAGGCGGAAGAGGAGGAGGAGGAGAGGCCCTCCGCCTCCCAGGCGGTGCCCGGCGCCTCCGCCAGCGCGGGGCGCGCCCCCGTCGCCCGACCGCGGCCGGAGGGCGCCGACGGTCCCTGCGCCGGCGGCGCGCCCGCGGCGACCCGCGACGAACGACGACCCACGACGGCGACCCGTCAGGGCGGCGACGACGATGACGACGACGACGACGACGTACGACGGCGGCGGCGGCGACGACCCACGACTGCGACGAGGGCGGCGGCAGCGGCGGCGCCGACGACAAGGACCCACGACGAGGGCGACGGCTGCGACGACGACGGCGGCGACCTCCGACTACGACGACGGCGGCGGCGGCGACAGCCGAGGACGACGAGGACGACGAGGGCGAGGACGACGACGACGACGACGACGACGACGACGACGACCGAAGATGCTTGGCGTGTTTTTGGGTGGCGACTTTTCGGCTACGGCTGCGAGGGCGGCGGCAGCCGAAGCTCGAGGCGCTTGGGGGCCTCGGAGGGTCTCTCGTCGCCACGGCCGCACTCCAACCCGAGATCCTGGCCAGAGCGCGCCCCAGGACAGGTCTGGACAGGTCGATTTTTCCAGAGAGAGAGAGAGAGAGAGACGTCGGCGGCCACGGCGACGGCGACGGCAAAGGCGAAGGCGACAGCAAAGGTGACGGCGACGGCGACGGCAACAACGACGACGACGACGACGACGGCGACAACGACGACGACGTCGACGACGACGACGACGACGACGACGACGACGACGACGACGACAGGGGCAGCGGCGACGAAGATGACGACAACGACGTACGAAGACGGCGGCGATGACGAGTGCGACGATCGGCGACGACGACAACGACGTACGACGACGTACGACGACGGCGGTCCCGACGAGGGCGACGATCGGCGACGGCGACGACCCACGACGACCGACGACATCCTACGACGACGACGGCGACGACCGCCTACGACAACGACGGCGACATACGATAAAGACGGCGGCGGCGGCAGCGACGACGACGACGACCTACGACGACGGCAGCGACGAGCGCGGCGAAGATCGGCGACGGTGACGACATACGACGACCAACGACGAGGACGACGACGACGACGACGACGACGACGACGACGACGACGACCTACGGCGACGGCGACCTACGACGACGACTCGGCGGCGACGACGACGACGACGACCTCCGCCGAGGGCGGCGACGACGGCGGCGACGGCGACGGCGACAACCTACGACGACGACTTACGACCGACGGCGGCAGCGATGACGACGACCTAAGACGACCGACGGCGACGACGATCGCGGCGACGATCGGCAACGGCAACCACCTACGACAACCTGCGATCCTCCCAATCGTCACCCTGTGTGTTGTCGTCCTCCTCGAGTTCTTCACACTGCTCCCCCTCCGCACGATCACTCCTCCCTTCTTCCACGCCGATCCTCCCCTCATCCTGCCCCCTCCCCTCATCTTTCTCATTATCCCCATTCCTCATTGCCTCCCCTTTTTCACACTGCCGCACCGAAGGGCATCCGCCAAGACGTCCAGCACCAGGCGGAGGGGCCAACATCCAACGCCTCGGGCAAGCGGAGACGTGCACAAATATCAGAGAAGGGAGAGGGAAAGATGGTGCGCACAGAAGGAGGAGGACCAGAGTAGGCCCAGGAGGCAACAACGATGCTGCAATACACCGTCCCATCTCACGATCCAAGACCCCCAATCATCAGTCCCTACGAGGACCCCGTGTAGCTATCGACAAGTTCAAGCTTCAACATCATACATCGTGAAGAAATCTCTGACGAAACGCTTGGTTCGCCGTATCGACACACCTGGTGGTGCGATGAGGACGAGGTAACCTAAGAAAGACGAACAGGAGGAGCAGGAAAAACGAGGACGGGGCAGCGGAGGAGGGAGAAGGGAGGAGGACCAGACCGGCGGCCATCGTCACGAGGGTCTCTCACCGCTCCCCTGAGGAAGGATGAGTAGGAGGAGGAGGAGGAGGAGGAGGAGGAGGAGGAGGACAGGAGGATTGGACAAGGACGAGGCAGAAATAGGGAGGAGTTAAGGAAATGGAGGAGAAGGGAAGCGGAGGAAGAGGCAAGAGGAGGAGGAAGAGCAGCAGGACGAGGAGGCCCAGGAGGAGGCAGCAGGAGGAAGGAAGGTGGAGGAAGAAGGGAAGAAGGATGAAGAGGAGGAAAATGAGGGGCAGGAGGCAAAAGGACCAGAGGAGGCAGGAGGGGAAAGAGGACTGGCGCCCGAGGCGCCACCTCTCCAGCACTACCGCCCCGCTCGCACAAGCGTTCCCGTCCCGCCCTCCTCCATTCCTCATCCTCCTTCCCATTCTCCTCCCCATCCTGCTCCTCCTCTGTTTCCTCCTCTCTTCCTCCTCGTCACCATCATCATCACCATCATTATCAGCAGCATCATCCTCACCATCGGCATCATCATCACCATCATCACCATCGTCATCATTAGCATCATCAGCATCATCACCAGCATCACCAGCATCATCACCCTTATCTTACCCCTCCTCGTCTTCATCCCCCATGTATCATCCTCATGATGTTCCTCAGATTCCTCCTCCTCTTCCACCGCCGTCCTGTTTATACCTCCTGCCCATCATCATCAGCAGCATCGTCACCATCATCACCATCATCATATTCACCATCATCGTCATCAGCATCACCGCCATCATCGAATCATTATTATCGCCGCCACCATCATTATCAAAAGTACCATCAGCATCTTCAGCCGTAGCATCATCAGCACCCATCATCGTCATCGGCATCGTCGCAATAAGAGTCATCATCATCGTCATCGTCACCATCGTCATCATCGTCGTCATCGCCACCACCACCGCCACCATCGCCGCCGTCATCACAATGACCATTAGCATCGTCATCGTCAGCAGCATCCACATCAGCATCATCGTCGTCATCGTCACCATCACGATACCATCATCAGCATCGTCATCATCATCAGAAAACCATTATCATCGCCATCCTCATCAGCATCATTTTACAGAGCAACACCATCATCATCATCGTCGCCACCATCAACATCGTCCACATCTGTCGCCACCGCCGCCACTGCCACCGCCACTGCCACCGTCATCATCAGAATGATCATCACCATCATCACCATCATCATCATCATCATCATCATCATCAGATCAGTATAATCACCGTGTTCATCATTTTCATCATCATCATCATCATCATCATCATCATCGCCATCGCTATCGTCATCGCCATCGTCATCATCATCACCATCATCAGCAGCATCATCTCTGTAGTCGCGTTGCCTCGTCCGTCCTCGGGCCCGTACTTCCTTGCTGGAATCGCTCCCCAGACACCGGTGACCGTCACACCCGCGCGGCGGGGCACAGGCACAACAAGGTGTGCCAGACCATCGGGCATTCATTTCGCCCGCACCGCGCGGCCGGGGCTCCCCATCAGAGCCCAACAGCGCGCTGGGTATTCCTCTCCTGTGTTCCTACGATACGCCACCGATGATAAACGTCATCCGCCTTCAATACCGCGTCGCTGCAACCGCGGCAGTGGGGTTCCCGCTACAGTGGTTCTCTATTCTCGTCTCTTCCTCCGAAGTGGTGCACACTCATCGCGCGCCATGCTATGGGGTGGAGGACACGTTCTGCTGGCTATGCTCCAGGTGTCCCTCGTACGCGGGCGGCGCCGGCACAAAGCAGTCCATGGGCTCGGCCTATCACTCTGGTGCCACTGTGCCTGCAGCGTTGTGCAATATACCTCGGGTGTTCCTGGTGCGCAGTCTCGAGCTCTCAGATCCGGCATGTGAGTTTCTGAGAGCGTGGGCTTGAGCTCGCTCAAGCTTCGCTCTGCAAGGGGCGGGGGGGGGGGCACGTTATTTCCGACGTCACTTCCGACGTTTTCCTGTACACGGGGATATTTCCGACGTCATTTCCGACGTTTTTCGGTACACTGGGACAGGGGGGTCTAGAAAACTCCACTTCCGGAGCCCCGACCGCCCAAGACAGCCCAAGAGGAAGCCAAGAGAGACCCAAGAGGGCCCCTAGACAATGCAAGAGGGCCCCGAATCGCCGAATATGCGGCGTGAGCTACGTGGTGTAAGCTACCCCCCAGAGGAGAAGAAAGAGGACCGGAAGAATCGAGGAGGGAAGAGGCCACAGAGCCGCGGAGATCACCGAATCCGGAACCCCCCGGATCGGCGGCACTGGCCGGAGGCCATTACAATATACCTCGGGTGATCCTGGTGCGCAGTCTCGAGCTCTCACTTTGGCCACCAGCGCTGTGTAGCACATTAATGTGGTTCTTCGAGTTGCGCACCATCGCGGGGCATTTCATCCAAGAGCGCTGCATCGGGGAGTGGTTCGTTGAGAGTTTCATCGAGGAGTGTTTCATCGTTGCGTGCCTCATCGCGGCGTGCTTCCCCGTGGAGTGATGTTGGGTACGTTGTCGAGGCGTGCGACAGCGTGGCGTGCGCCATCGTGACGTGCGCCATCATGGCGTGCTTCATGGAGGCGTGTTTCCTCAGGGAGTTACGTGCCTCATCGCGGAGTGGTACGTCGTGGAGGGTCTCCTCGGGGCTTCATCGTGGAAGGCTTCAGCCTGGTCTTCATCGGGGTGGCGTTACTTCATCGAGGGCGTCCTGGAGGGCTTCATTGAGGCGTGTTTCAGAGCAGTGTTTCAAGTTGGCGCGCTTCATCGTGGCGTGCTTCACGGAGGCGTGCTTCGCGGGGACGTGCCTGTCAGCGCCGTGTTCCACCATGCGTGCGCATTTCATCGTGGCGGGATTCATCGGGGAGGGTTCCGTCGAGGGCTGTCTCGTCGTGGCGTGCTTCATCATTGAGTGGTATACTATTGAGGGCTTCTTCAGGGTGGCTTCGTTGCGGCGTGCTTCATCGGAGACGTGCTTCACGGAGGCGTGCTTCATTGTGGCGGAGGCGTGCCTCCCGGCGGCGTACATCGTGGAGGCGTGCGTCCTGGAGTGCTTCACCAAGAAGGGTTTCACCAAGGCATGAGTCACCAAGGAGTGCTTCCAGGAAAGTGATTAATCAAGGAGTGCTTCGGCGTGGAACGTGTCATCAAAGAGAGTTCACCGTGGAGTGCTACATCATAAAACGCCTCAACATCGTGGACGGTTGCATCGTGGAGTCCCACACGCCCTCTGGGCGTATGTGGTCTAACGAGTTCTCTTCCCTCTACCGAGAACCTCTTCCGTTCGGGGAGGGGTACCCTCCCCCTCCCCGCCCTAAGGGCGTTTTTTGAAGGGGGGTCAATGGGCATTATAGCCAGGGCCCAGTATCTCAAAACAGCGCTGATTGAGCCAAGGTGGCTCCTAAGGGTGTTCGCGCGTCCTCCTGCTCCTGATCGGCCTGCGCCGCCGTCGTCGTCGTCGAGCTGTTCGTCATCGTCGTCCTCCTCCTCCTCCTCCGCACCCACGTCATTATCCACCGCATCTCCACTCGTCGTCTTCATCTCCTCCGCATCTTCTCCGCAACTCCTGCGCAGCTCCTCCTCCTCCTCCTTGTCCTCCTCCTGCTCCTCCGCCTCCTCCGTCTCCTCCTCCTCCTCCTCCTCCTCCTCCACCTCGTCCTCATCCTCCTCCTCCTCCTCCTCTTCACCCTCCACCTCGAAGTCAGTTCCTCCAAGTGTTTTGCTCGAAATACTCCACCTAGAGATCTGAGAATTGCACCATGAAACGCGCCATGATCGACTGCAGGGCATGTAAAAACGAACTGTCAAATCTATTGCAATGTTCAGAAATCCGAACCCAGGTTGCCTTATTGTCCGCCCTGGCCTGGTGGGCCAACTGGGAGCCGGCGGTAAACCGTCAACCCGGTTACCGCCGGGACCCTCGTAGAGCTCTTAACAATCTCAAGTCAGTGCTCAACATTAAAAACATTCAAAAATGTTCGAAATGATCAAAGATGATCAAAAAAAATGTTGAATATTCATCCTGTAGAGGGACATGCCCGACTTAACCCACAGGCCCTCAAGAGGGCCCACATAGAGGCCCCAGAGAGGCCCAGGAAGGAGAACTCGAAGGGGCCCTGGGGTGCCCTGCCCCCCAGGGGTGGCCCAGAAGACCACCCAACATGCCCCCAAAAAGGCCCCCAAGGATCCCCCAGGAAAACCGTGCGAGCCCCTTGAAGTCCTCTTCTTCTGTGGGTCGGCGGAACGAGATACGGCCTTCGATTGTAGGGGCGACATCCTGAAGGTCCAAACTTCTCAAATGTGCATTCCGAATACCGCTTCTGGAATGTCTCTGGTCCAGGGCGCTCTTGCTCAATGCTGGGGGCTTCAATGCTGGTCCCTGGGTACATGCAGTCACCTGAAAGGAGACACTGAAGGAAAAAACTACATGCACATAAACTTCATGAGGTCCGCGCAGGTCTTGGATCGGCGCCGGGCCCCCCTCCCTGGCGCGCGGAGTGGTCCAGCGCCTATCCGACAAATCCGCGCGGGCCTTCGGAACCTCATGTTTCTACCGACCTCTTCTTCACCGAGGAGCTAGAGGCCTACTAGATAGGATCGGAGTAGATGGGGTCGGAGGATCGCGCCGCATCGGCGACGTCGGCGATGCATCGGCGACGTCGGCGTGCGGAAAAACGGGCTCCACGTCGAGACGCATCGTCGATGCATCGGCGATGCGGCGCGATCCTCAGACCCCATCTGGGAGGCCCAGAAAAGCGGAAGCTGAAAGGAGAGGGGGGTGTCCAAGAGGGGGGGTGCAAATCATGGCCGGCGGCATGTGCGCGGCCCAGCTGGGGGGCCAGGGACGTAACGAAATAAGAAGAGGCGCCATGAAATCTGGGGAAACATCATGGCCCCCGCCATGATATCCACCCCCCCCTAGTCATCACCCCCCTCTTTTCCGCCCCCGACCGACACACGTCCGAGCGATGCCGAGCCCCCCCCCGGGAGGCGCGCACTGCGCGCACTCACGGCGACGGGGGGCCGGCGGGCGCTCGAGGGCCCAGGCCCCGAGGCCGAGGAGGAGGAGGAGGAGGAGGAGGAGGACGAGGACGAGAACGAGGACGAGGAGGGGGAGGAGGCGGAGGAGAGTCGGCAGTGGGCCCGACGCACCCTGCAGGCCTGCCGGGCTGCCCCGCCAGTGGCGGCACCCACGCCTGCAGCGCCAGCGCCGGCGGCAGCAGCGGCACGGAGCTCCTCACGCCGGCCGCCTGCGGAACGGCCAGAGGCTGGGCGGAGGCCCGCGCTCCACACGTCGAGGCATCAGCGCCACCATCCTCCTCCTCCGCCTCCTCCTCCTCCCTCCTCCTCCTCCCTCCTCCTCCTCCCTCCTCCTCCTCCTCCTCCTCCCTCCTCCTCCTCCTCCCTCCTCCTCCTCCTCCTCCTCCTCCTCCTCCTCCTCCTCCTCCTCCTCCTCCTCTCCTCCTCCTCCTCCTCCTCCTCCTCCTCTCCTCCTCCTCCTCCTCTCCTCCTCCTCCTCCTCTCCTCCTCCTCCTCCTCCTCCTCCTCCTCCTCCTCCTCCTCCTCCTCCTCCTCTCCTCCTCCTCCCTCCTCCTCCTCCTCTCCTCCTCCTCCTCCTCCTCCTCCCCTCCTCCTCCTCCTCCTCCTCCTCCTCCTCCTCCTCCTCCTCCTCCTCCTCCTCCTCCTCCTCCTCCTCCTCCTCCTCCTCCTCCTCCTCCTCCTCCTCCTCCTCCTCCTCCTCCTCCTCCTCCTCCTCCTCCTCCTCCTCCTCCTCTCCTCCTCCTCTCCTCCTCCTCCTCCTCCTCCTCCTCCTCCTCCTCCTCCTCCTCCTCCTCCTCCTCCTCCTCCTCCTCCTCCTCCTCCTCCTCCTCCTCCTCCTCCTCCTCCTCCTCCTCCTCCTCCTCCTCCTCCTCCTCCTCCTCCTCCTCCTCCTCCTCCTCCTCCTCCTCCTCCTCCTCCTCCTCTCCTCCTCCTCCTCCTCCTCCTCCCTCCTCCTCCTCCTCCTCCTCCTCCTCCTCCTCCTCCTCCTCCTCCCCTCCTCCCTCCTCCCTCCTCCTCCTCCTCCTCCTCCTCCCTCCTCCTCCTCCTCCTCCTCCTCCTCCTCCTCCTCCTCCTCATCCTCCTCCTCCTCCTCCTCCTCCTCCTCCTCCTCCTCCTCCTCCTCCTCCTCCTCCTCCTCCTCCTCCTCCTCCTCCTCCTGCTCCTCCCCTTCCTCCTCGTCCTCCCGGGACCCTGATGGGTCATGGCACAGGGCCGGCCAAGACCGGGACAAAATAGGAGCGGGACCACTGGGGGGTGTCCGACGTCCGCCGGCTCTGGAGGATGGATCGGGCGCCGCGGCCGTTCCGGAGCGCTCCGGGATGCTCTGAGAGCGTCTCGCCATCGCTCGGACGTCCATTTCCCGTGCATTTGTCGGTTCCGTGCGTGCTTTTTTTGCTCGATGGTCCAGGATCGTCCTCAATGGTTCTCGCCGAGAAAAAATGCACACGTCCGAGCGATGCCAGGGCGTTCTGGGTGAGCGATGTATCCCAGTCCCAGCCCCGCCCGAACTCGGTGGACGGGCTGGGTAGTCGAAGCCAATCTGGCGCCAATCTGGCAGGCCCAATCTGGCAAATGGGGCCAATCTGGCGAGGGAGCCAACGCGAATCCAGTCTGGCGAATAACCCAAATCCTCCAATATGGCCAGGCCAGATTGGCCCTTGGGGCCCAATCCAGTCTGACAGTCTGGCCTTCGACTACCCAGACGGGGGCCCTGATCGGTGCAGGACAGCGGCGCTTCCCTGCCCCCTTCCCGCAACCATTCCCAAGCGAAAGGGCTCTGTCGCGGGCGCGGCCGAGCCGACCCCTGGCGAACCATCCCCTTCCGTGGCGTCACCCTCCTCCTCCTCATCATCATCCTCCTCCTCCTCCTCCTCCTCCTCCTCCTCCTTCTCCTCCTCCCGCATACGGGGGCGAGGCAAGGGGGACGTCACGGAAGGAAACGGGTTGCTCGGGGTCGGTCAGGCGGCCCCTGGCTTCCATGCCACCTCCCTGCCTGCTGCCGAAGTGCTCGTTACTGGGTACTCCGGATTCCATAACAAAGTGGGGGGGGTCACATTCGGGGGGGGGTCCAATTTGAGCTGTCTTGGAGGGTTCGGGGGGGGGTCTGGACAGAGGGCCGCCCTCTCATGGATGGTCTGGGGGGCCTAAAACTTCTCGTCTGGGAGGGTTGTGACCCCTTCCCTTTTCTTAAGAAATCTGGAGTACGCTATTCTTGTGGCCCTCTTGGGGCTCTCTTGGAGGCTCTTTGGGCCGTCCTGAGGTTGGAGGTTTTCTTGGGCCTCCCTTGGCGGCCTTGGTGGCCTGCCGCGAGCCGTTTTGGAAGGTCGAGAGCGGGGGTCTAAAACTTCTCGTCTGGGAGGGTTGTGACCCCCTCCCTTTTACTACGAAAGCTGGAGCACCCGTCTCGGTGGCACTCTGAGGGCAACCGGCGCGTGCCTGGCCACGCACGGGTGCCCATCATAAGGCGCGAGCACACGGGCACGCCGCGTCGCCCGTGTGCGGATCCACAGTGGGCGGCGAGCGAGGAGAAGGCCCTTTCGGAAGGCGGCGGGGCTCCTTAGAAGTCCTCCAGAGCCTTCTGAGAGGTGCTCTGCATCTCTTCGGAGAAGACGCCGAGAGCACTTCTCACAGAAGGCCGGGGGATATCTCCGAGCCTCCTGGGAAGGCCCGCCCCAGTCTCTCTTCCCCCCCGGGCGCGCCGCCGACACGAGGTTACTCCAGATTTCGTAATAAAGGGGAGGGGGTCTGGACCCTCCAAGACAAGCCATTTCAGACCTCCCTCGTGGGAGAACCCTCCAAAACATCGTCCCCAGACCCCCCAGGCCCTCCAAGATAGCCTGGAAGAGACTCCCCCGAAATGAGACCCCCCTCCCTTTATTACGAAATCTAGAGTACCCGCACGCGCGCGCAGGCGCCCGGGCACACGTCTGGAGGAGAAGAGCAGCATACAAAAGCCTGACCTCTGGAGCTCCGCGCGGATGTTTTGGATCGGCGCAGGGCCCCGCGCGGCGCCGCCCTTTCTTGGCGGAGCCCGCGCGCGCCAGGGACGGGGGTCCCGCGCAATCCAGGAAATCCGCGCAGATCTTGGCGGCGCGCACAAGGGGGTGGGGGGAGGGGGAGGGCTTCTTAGAAGCAGGCTGCTTCTTAGAAGGCGCCGGCCTTACATTTATAGATAAGGCCCGCGCCTTCTAAGAAGCAGGGGTGCTTCTAAGAAGCCCTCCCCCCTCCCCCCACCCCCCTCTGCGCGTGGCTGAGGGTCTCAAAAACAGCATGTGTTCCTCTGTTTCTTCTTCGGATGTCACAGCGTACACGGAGACGTCTCTCGCCAGCGAGGCAGGACACGTGTCCACGAGGCGACGGCGCTGGCTCGGCGATTGACAAGTCGTTGTCGTTCCGCGTCGAGCAAGGGAGGAAGGCGAGAGAAACTGGTCATGAGAAGCCAAAACGAATACGATGATGACAACCGAAATTGCGAGGAAGCTAATCCAGCGAAAGTGTGAAAGGAAATCCTCGGTATCCATCGTCTATTCCTCCTCTTCCTCCTCCTCCTCCTCCTCCCCCTCGCATTCCTGGAGCATGGCTGTCCTCCTGCTTCTCCTGCTCATCCTCGTGCTTCGCCCTTCCCCTTCGCTTCACCTCGGCCCCTAAGTCGCAGGAGGAAAAGAGGAGAGGCGAGGGGAGGAGAAGGAGCAGAAGGCAAGAGAACAAGGCGAAGGAGGAGAAGGAGGCGAAGGAGCCCCGAGGCGAGGGAGGAAAAGGGGAGAGGCGAGGGGAGGAGAAGGAGCAGAAGGCAAGAGAACGAGGCGAAGGAGGAGGAGGAGGAGGCGAAGGAGCCAAAAGAGGAGAGGCGAGGGGAGGAGAAGGAGCAGAAGGCAAGAGAACGAGGCGAAGGAGGAGTAGGAGGCGAAGGAACCCCGAGGCGAGGGAGGAAAAGAGGAGAGGCGAGGGGAGGAGAGGGAGCAGAAGGCAGGAGAACGAGGCGAAGAAGGAGGAGGAGGCGAAGGAGCCCCGAGGCGAGGGAGGAAAGGAGGAGGGGCGAGGGGAGGAGAGGGAGCAGAAGGCAGGATGGCGAGAGAAACTGATCATGAGAAGCCAAAACGAATACGATGATGACAACCGAAATTGCGAGGAAGCTAATCCAGCGAAAGTGTGAAAGGAAATTCTCGGTGTCCATCGTCTGTTCCTCCTCTTCCTCCTCCTCCTCCTCCTCGCATTCCTGGAGCCTGGCTGTCCTCCTGCTTCTCCTGCTCATCCTCGTGCTTCGCCCTTTCCCCTTCGCTTCACCTCGGCCCCCAAGTCGCAGGAGGAAAAGAGGAGAGGCGAGGTAAGGAGAAGGAGCAGGAGGAAGGAGAACGAGGCGAAGGAGGAGAAGGAGGCGAAGGAGCCAAAAGAGGAGAGGCGAGGGGAGGAGAAGGAGCAGAAGGCAAGAGAACAAGGCGAAGGAGGAGAAGGAGGCGAAGGAGCCCCGAGGCGAGGGAGGAAAAGGGGAGAGGCGAGGGGAGGAGAAGGAGCAGAAGGCAAGAGAACGAGGCGAAGGAGGAGGAGGAGGCGAAGGAGCCAAAAGAGGAGAGGCGAGGGGAGGAGAAGGAGCAGAAGGCAAGAGAACGAGGCGAAGGAGGAGGAGGAGGCGAAGGAGCCCCGGGGCGAGGGAGGAAAGGAGGAGAGGCGAGGGGAGGAGAGGGAGCAGAAGGCAGGAGAACGAGGCGAAGGAGGAGTAGGAGACGACGGAGCCCCGAGGCGAGGGAGGCGAAGGAGGAGAGGCGAGGGGAGGAGAGGGAGCAGCAGGAGGGAGAACGAGGCGAAGGAGGAGGAGGAGGCGAAGGAGCCTCCTAACCGAAGGGGGCGCAGGCGAGAGGGGGGGGAGGGCGTGGAGGCTTGGGGGGGGGCCTCTCCGGAAAGGCCACCCGCGGCCTCCCCAAGACCTCCGCGAGCGTCCCCACAACAGGAACCAGCCTCGAGCCTCGATCCTCGAGCCTCGATCCTCGAGCCTCGATCCTCGAACGTCGATCCTCGAACCCAGGTCCTCGAACCTCGAGCCTCGAACCTAGATCCCCGAGCTTGGATCCTCCTGCTCCTCGCGGGGGGCGTCCAAAGAAGGGCTGGAGGGGATCGAAACAAGATCGTGGCCCGAGGCACGTGAGCGGCACGGTGGGGACGAGAGGTCATGAAATCCAGCAAAACATCATGGTCCTGCCAGAAACACACACAC